TGATGTTTCTCACTTCAAAAAATGGAATAAGAACATGGAAGAATATTAAAAAAATAAAAAGTAAAAAAATAATTATAAAGTTTATGCATTAAATTGTGCAAGGAAATCTTATACTTTCATCACTTTGAAATTATTTTGTGTTGATACCTTGTTTCGGTAATAGTCCCTAATATCTTGTAAGGTTTTGTGTCCTATGGGTGTTAGTCAATTTGTGAAAGAACTGAATATTCCTGTCATAAATCCCTTGCCTTCTGCCTCCATCTAATTTCTTCCATATGAACAATGTGTCCCAACTCCATTTTGACTTATTCCCTTCCTACTCATTATTTAAAAACTTATGTCTCAATACCAATACAAACGGATAGGGAGAAAATTGATATAGTGAATGACTTTCCATGACTGGTATAGTCAAAAATTATAGTGAATGACTAGTTTTAAGGTAAAATGTTTTATATATGTTGATTGTCAAAAATTAAGTTTCTTCTTAATAATGTTATCTTTTCTTGTTTTTATTGGTGTTTCAATTATGTAGTAACAATCACTAGGTAACGTGAATAATATGATGCAAATGAAGACAAGACATCGATGTGGGTCAAAATCAATCCTGGTCAGGGTGTACAGCTCGGTGCGTTCTACTAATTTATTTTATTGGATTAGTAGGCTTTGCTAGTATATTATGTTTCTATGTTAATTTAGTAGAATTTCTTAATCAACTAGGGTAGAATAAAAAAAAACTTTGACATTTAGGGGCGAAAGGTCACAAATACCTTGAGATGGAGCAACATAATGTTAATTTAATAGTTAAATATGCATGTAAAGATCCGAGAAACATCACAAATACCTTGAGATGGAGCAACATAAGTTGTGCAAACGTACGAAAAAAGCGCATGGCTCCCAATTTAAAAACTACTTTGAAATTTGCACAGTTTCAACACGTAGGCATGAAACTAAGTAAAAAAATGAACTTTTCCAATGCGTAAGCTTGAAAATAGGCCATCGGAGGGCTAAATCGTGTAACAACCACAAGACGGCCCGGGTAACACCTTAAACACCTCAGGAGGGACCAAAGTAAGTTGTGAAAACTTGCGGAATTAGTACAGGACTCCCGACTCAAAAACTAAGTCCAAAATTGTACTTTTTCACACTTAAACTTCAAAATAGGCCATCAGAGGGCTAAATCGTGTAACAGTCATGAGACGGTCGGGGTAACACCTCAGGAGGGACCAATGTGAGTTGTGAAAACTTACAAAACTAGCACGGGAGGGACCAAAATCGTGCAACAGCCATGAGACGGCCCGGGAAACACCTCAAACACCTCGGGAGGGACCAATGTGAGTTGTGGAAACTTACGGAACTAGCACGAGACTCCCGGTTTGAAAACTAAGTCCAAAAATGCACATTTTCACACTTAAGCTTGAAAATAGGCCTTCGGGGGCCAAAATCGTGCAACAGTCACGAGACGGCCTGGGAAACACCTCAAACACCTGGGATAGACCAATGTGAGTTGTGAAAACTTACGGAACTAGCATGGGACTCCTGGTTTGAAAACTAAGTCCAAAAATGCACTTTTTCACACTTAAGCTTGAAATAGGCCTTCGGGGGCCAAAATCGTGCAACAGCCATGAGACGGCCCGGGAAACACCTCAAACACCTCGAGATGGACCAATGTGACTTGTGAAAACTTACGGAACTAGCACGGAACTCTCGGTTCGAAAACTAAGTCCAAAAATGCACTTTCAGCGACAATTAAGCTTGAAAAATAGGCCATCAGAGGCCAAAATCGTGTAACAGCCACGAGGCGGCCCGGGTAACACCTCAAACACCTCGGGAGGGACCAATGCGAGTTGTAGAAACTTACGGAAGTAGCACGAGATTCTCGATTTGAAAACTAAGTCTAAAAATGCACTTTTTTACACTTAGTCCAAGTTTGGCATGATTGAAAAAAGACAAAAAGTCAAAAAGTCACTATCTTATTTAAGTCACATCACTTATCTAACACATCACTTCAAACCCAACTCAAACCTAACCCATATTTCATAAAAAGTCAAAAAGTGCACTTATTTAGTCTTCCCAAACTAGGCCTAACTTCAAAAATAGGCCATCAGAGGCCAAAATCGTGCAACAGCCATGAGACGGCCTGGGAAACACCTCAAACACCTCAGGATGGACCAATGTGAGTTGTGGAAACTTACAGAACTAGCACGGGACTCCCGGTTTGAAAACTAAGTCCAAAAATGCACTTTTTCACATATAAGCTTGAAAATAGGTCTTTGGTGGCCAAAATCGTGCAACAGCCATGAAACGGCCCGGGAAACACCTCAAACACCTCGGGATGGACCAATGTGAGTTGTGGAAACTTATAGAACTAGCATGCGACTCCCGGTTTGAAAAGTAAGTTTAAAAATACACTTTTTCACACTTGAGCTTCAAAAATAGGCCATCGGAAGCTAAAATCATGCAACAGCCACGAGACAGCCCGAGAAGCACCTCAAACACCTCAGGATGGATAAATGTGAGTTGTGGAAATTTACGAAACTAGCACGGGACTCCTGGTTCGAAAACTAAGTCCAAAAATGCACTTTCAGCGACAATTAGGCTTGAAAAATAGGTCATCGGAGGCCAAAATCGTATAACAGCCACGAGGTGGCCCGGGTAACACCTCAAACACCTTAGGAGGGACCGATGTGAGTTGTGGAAACTTACGAAGGTAGCACGAGATTCCCGGTTTGAAAACTAAGTTCAAAAATGCACTTTTTTACACTTAAACTTCAAAAATAGGCCATCGGAGGCTAAAATCGTGCAACAGCCACGAGACGGCCCGGGAAACACCTCAAACACCTCGGGATGGACCAATGTGAGTTGTGGAAACTTACGGAACTAGCACGGGACTCCCGGTTTGAAACTAAGTCCAAAATTGCATTTTTTCACACTTAAGCTTCAAAATAGGCCACTGGAGGTCAAAATCGTGCAACAGCCATGAGACGGCCCGGGGAATACCTCAAACATCTTGGGAGGGACCAATGTGAGTTGTGGAAACTAATGGAACTAGCACAGGATTCTCGGTTTGAAAACTAAGTCCAAAAATGCACTTTTTCCACACTTAAGCTTCAAAAATAGGCTATCGGCGGCCAAAATTGTGCAACAGCCACTAGACGGCCTGGGAAACACCTCAAACATCTCGGGAGGGACCAATGTGAGTTGTGGAAAATTACGGAACTAGCACGGGACTCCCGATTTGAAAATTAAGTCGAAAAATGCACTTTTTCACACTTGAGCTTGAAAATAGGGCTTCGGGAACCAAAATCGTGCAACAGCCACGAGAAGGCCCGGGAAACACCTCAAACACCTCGGGATGGACCAATGTGAGTTGTGGAAACTTACGGAACTAGCACGGGACTCTCGGTTTGAAAACTAAGTCTAAAAATGCATGTTAAGTTGTATATGTTATGGATAAGATAATAATTGTCTAACTAACTTTTTCTTTTTTTTTTTGTGTTTCATTTTTTTGCAGATTCGAGATTTGGTATGGACGTGTTTGGTAATTTGGAGGGTAGATGGTAGCTCATTTTGTGTTTTTGTTCATATTACCTTACATGTATTTTGGTTGTGTTGTAAATTTTATAATTTTTGTTGGTATTACGGGGCATGTTTGGTAATCCGTCCTTGATATTTTATTTTTGTTGATATTAGTAAACATGTTTTTTGTTGGATATTAGGAGATGTGTTTGGTAATCTACATACGGTTGATATTGTATTTTTGTGAATATTAATGGACATTTTTTGTGGATATTAGGAGATATGTTTATAATCCGCATGCAGTTCATATTGTATTTTTGTGGATAGTGCTAAAATTCGATTGTGATGTTTATGAAAATGAGCAGATTTTTGTATTGATTTGTAATAGATATTTTATTGAACATATTATTGAAATGTGCAGGGAATTGTTATTGAAAAGAAAAAATTTCGGAAGAAAATAGTATCTCCATTTTCAAAATTTTTAATTTTTTTTAGTGACGAAGTAAAAAATGTCGCTATTAGTTTTCAAAAAACATGACGAATATTTTTGTCACTAATGATATAGTACGAAACAAATAATTTCGTCACATTTGCTGAATATTTCGTCACTAAATTGAAATATTTGGTGACAAAATTTTTTTTGTCATTGAATAATTTTCTTTTTTGCTCATTTTAGTGACGAATTTTTTTGTCACCTTAATCCATATCATTGGCGAGGAAAATTTTCGTCACTAAAATATATTTGGTGGCGAAATATTTCATCACAAAAAATAATTAAAATAAAATATTATTTAGTTTTGGTGACGAAATTGGTGTTTTAGAGGACGAAAAATTCAACATTTGGAGACGAAACATTTTGTCGTCAAAAATGAAAAATAGGCGAAGAATGTGTTTTTCGTCACTAGGTACTTTTTGTGACGACGTATAGGCCATGAATGTGGTGACAAATTTTTTTCATCACAGATCACTTTAGTGACAAAATTTTGATGTTTGGAGACAAAATCAGTCTATCACCAAATGCCTTTTTTGTTGTAGTAATCATTGAAGACCTTCAATCAATCTCCATTTGCAGCCATGTCTTCCACGACCTCTGGTCAGGCACTTCTATACTCACATATTATAGTTTTATCTTCACAATTGTTCACTTCAATCGATTATTATTCGAGAACGATCTTCAATTTGATGTGTTTTTTTAACAAACCTAGCCTTCAACAATGTATCGAGTACTGTTCAAATGCGAAGAAGGAATGATGTCCTGTATGCAAGCAGGCCTTTTCGAAGGCCAATGTTAGTCGGCTTTATTTCCAATCAGTAGGCAATCTCTATTAGAAATTGATCAATTGCAAAGATAATCCAGGGAAGGGGAGGTTTTTGGAACTTGATTGAAACCTTCTCATTTAGCTCCTTCCTTGTATAATAGGAACTTGATAGATCAACTTTGGAGTGCGTGAGGCTGCAAGAAAGGAATATGGCATCGACCAAAGAGCTTGTAGCATTGAAACTGTAAGTGCCTTCATACTAGTGACAGAACCATTTATGTTTCGAGTCTCCAAATGAACTTTGTTGATTATTATGGCTATCTGATTTACAATTTGGTCCTTTGATTTGAACCTGGAGGAAGAGGAGGTTATGAAACTTGCTTCTCTAGGTAACAAGGCTAACAAAAAAGAGACTATAGACATTTTAAAAAAGACTTTGGTCATTCGCAACAAGTAAGTTTCTCTATCATTCCCTTTCTTTCTTTCTTTTTTGGGGGTATTTCCTTTTTTCTAATAAATTATAAATATATTAATTTCAAACTCTGGACGGAGGCAACGAACAATCTGGTTTGGGTTTCTGGTTAGGCTTGATTGGTTCAAGGACAAAGTTGAAACAGTATAAATGCTGAATTTGTTTCAACACCATGTCAAATCTATGCACATGTTTAGCAAATATCCTTATGTGTTATCCCTTTAATCACATTGCAGTTTGGTACCATTATGCCATATTAGAAAGAAATTATGGGCAGGAACATTTACTATTCAATTTAGGCAACTTAGTATACATTTCCAATACTTCAAAATAACCGATAAATGAATCATTTGCCCTCAACAGGAGCATAGAAATAAGGTTAATTGGTATAACATTGAGAAATACCTACTGAAAATGCAATTCAAACAGTCATGATTAGCCAGCTGTGTAGAGTTCAAACATACAGGCAACACAGTTAGCTAACTACAAACAAATTTGTTTGCAATAGGATTCTTCTCCCTCGCTCTCTCTCTCTCTATCTCTCTCTCTCTCTCTCTCTCTCTCTCATAGAAGAGGAAAAAAGAACACTTTTGGCATAATTGTGATTTATGTGGCATGTTGGAACAGCTATTAACTTCTATTTTTTCATTTTACAAGTTTCATTTCTTTTGCTTTAGTTGTCAGTTGGCACATAATTCATAGCTTCTTTCCACAGGAGTTGCAAATAATTGACAGCCACATGCAATGTTCTAGGAAGAGAAGAAGCCCGTGCTCTTCGCAAACTCGGGAAGGCAAAAGCGAAGATAAAGAAACTAAAGGTAAATTTATCACGACCGAATAAGTGAATTGACCATGGTTAATTTGATTCAGGATATTCTAACATGTGGCCATTATCAAGCAAGGATCCAAGAACTGAAGACAGCTGTTGAAGTAAAAGATAATGAAGTTCTGAGGGCTTTAAAAGCTTCCAAGAAAACTATTCTTGAAGGGGATATACTGAACGATGTTGATTGGAATTCTAACTCTTGATCCATTAGTGAGGATTTAACTGTTGAGAAAAACTATTTTTCAAGGTCAGAGGCACCTTCAGATACAAGAAGTGAAGTGCATAGACCATGTAACAAGGATGGGGTTTTAAGGTTCAAGAAGTGCATTTTGGACAAATGAAGATTGAGAGGTAAATCCCTACCCATACTCTTGGGTATATACATGAATATATACTCCTATGTTCACATAATGTTATGCATATATAGATATGGAATTTGGAAATGTATGGTAGTTGTGTTGAATGTGAAACTATGTTTCCAAAATGAAGGTAGGTATGATGATGGCTGCTTTCCTGAACCTTGTATTCATCTTGTGAAGCATGTTTTCAGGCTAATTTGGTCTGCATTTGCTTTCCTTTCATCATTAATACCTTAATGATTTCATGGTTTTGGCAATGCAAATTATTGTGTTAACTTGATAGACAATATCACTCCAAAATCACAATTAAAAGTACAATGATTTCCTAGGTCCTTATGCAACACTCATCTGGTAGTGATTGATTGAATGAAACGTACATCGATTACATTTTTTTTCCCCTTCTTTTTTGCCCATAGTGGTCCTCAGTTTGATTGGGTGTGTAAAACATTTATTAGTAATTGTGATTAGTAATTGTGTCCTCAACCAAAATTCTTTATTAAATCTTATTTAAAGAAAATAGATAGTGTGCAAAAGAGAGATGTACATAGCCATCAGCAACATTTAAATACTTGGCTATGTTTGTTTTTGATGAGTATCATCAAAACATTTAGCCATCAGTGGGGACATCGTTGATAATTCATATAATACATATTCTCTTGCTGTATATATCTTTCATCATTGTTTTAAATACATAAGGTAGCCCATTCAAATACTTGCTAGTCTCCCTCCTGTTGAATAAAGATTATGTTTCAAGGTTATACTGCAGTTTTGGAGCTGAAGTCTGTTTTGGTTTGGTCATTTTTTGTCATATTTATGAGTAAAACTATGGATTTAAGTTGTTCTAACTTCTAAGTTCCACGTTCTTGGTGTGCTGCATTGATATCTCTCTTTGTCTTTAGATAGTTCTTTGTTTTGCCCGTGTGTTCTTTCTTGTTATAGGTTCTTTGACTAGGGCATGAACAAATTGACAATGTTTTAATTTTTTTGGTATGGACTGGCACAGTAGTTTGAGATAATATGTGGATTAAGAGGATTAGTCTTTACCATTTTCTGTTGGATTGGGGGAATGGGTAACGTAGGTATATTAGACAGTTGAGAACTTGAACGTTAAGAGAAACAAGAAGACAATAGGAGGAAAATTCTTGTCAGTTGCATCCAAATTCGTTGGCGCGCGCACACACACACACACACTAAAGAGAGTACGTGCAGGTTTTCAGTCACAAATTGAGATTTTGAAATCTCAATTGCAAGCTGCGGGCATGCCCGTTGCACTAGCTGTTGCACTCTCGAACTCAGTACATAGGCAGCAAGTATTTTCATTATTTTTACTAGTTATTACTTTAAATTGTCTAGAGCTACTATACAACTTAAGCCTCTTATTCAATGATAGGTTGTTGATTCACTTAGTAGTCGTCCCACTGTTCGGCCAATGTCACATCAACAACAATCTCATGCATTTTCATCCCAAGAGGTGAGCAATCATTTAATCAAAGCTTTTTTGACAATACAATATCTTATTAATTACAATACTTGTCCTTATTAAATATAGGTTCACCTTTCAAAGAAAGGGAAGAAGAAGAAGAACAAGAACAAGAACAAGAAGAAGAAGAAGAACTAACAAGGTAAAAGTACTACACATCACTAGTTTTTAATTTCTCACTTTTCTAATTCTATTAAGACATGATGTGATTTGGTGTTGGAAATTAGTGAGTAAGCCAAATCAACCACATAGTTTTATATATTTTTAAATATGGCATGGAATTAAATCTATTTCATTTCTTGTACTTGTGATTTGGCTACAATTGAAACAGAGCCTGATTTTGTCATGGACCTAGTCAGGTCTTTCTTATCAACAATTGTGTAGTTTGTTAGAACATTATGAGTCTAGTATGTAGACCTGACGAGTCTTCATATGAATTGTGTAAGTGGGTTAATTTATAATGTCCCATTACATCATGGTTCTGTCCATCTGACCCTTCCATATTGAATGGAGACCCTTACCTCATGGTTAAGTTACAATTCTTTTTTGTTGGCAATCAAAAAAACAAAAGAAAAAGAAAAAAAGAATAGGCCTTATTGATTCTACATGTTCAATTTGAAAGTTGAGGACCTTGTTCAATGTGTGGTTTGCAGATAACATCATAACTTGTAGCTTTTCTAGTTCCATTTGAAAGTTGAAGTCTCATATAGACTGAAGAAGGGAGCAGTGTTTTGAAATGATTTTAAGCACTGCAGAATTATTGGCATCTTTTCATTTAGCTGATTTTTAGTTGTCGTGGAAGTAGTGTTTTCATTTATGCTATTTTCCTGTTCTATGAATTCAATTGTTAGAAAGATATGCTGGCCACTTAGTTAGGCAGATTTTTATAGTAGATGGAGCTTTGTGATTTAAAGTTGCCAGATGTAGAGAAGGAGTGTATTACTTTACATCAAACTCCTTTCAAAGTGCATGGAAAGGATGTCATTAGTGGTGTTGGGGAGTTGATTCCAACTAATATTTAAGCGTGAATATTGAGGATGAAAGAGTTATCCATATCTGAATGTCTCCTCGTGTCATTAGATATTTATGGGTTTCACTTGTATTGGCAATGCTCTTTTTCTCTGAAAATGTGCATAGGATAGATTAGGGACTTTTGAATTCTAAAGGAGAAATGACTTCAAAATATTTTGGCTCACCTTTGGTGTTTGTGAATTGGGTTTTGCTATATCCTTTGTAGTTCAAACTTTGAAATTCTGATTGCTGGTTTGGGTGTGTAATTGAATATATTGATTGGATGAAACCATTTATTTGCATCACTTTTATTAATTTGCTTTGCAAGTTCTGATTCATATTTCCCAGTAATTGAATCACTTTGGTTGGATGAAACCATTTATTAATTACATTTTTTGGTCCAAGTAGAATGCGTGTTGCTTTTGACTTTGTTCTACTGGTGGGACATTTGCTGCTATTTTGGGAACAGTCGGAGCTGATTATTTTGTTGAATTAATGGGTTCTTTTCAGGGATTTTTGTATTTTTCTACTGCCCTATTCTGGAACTTATATTCTACAGGAGAGAGAGAGAGAGAGAGAGTGAGAGAGAGAGTCAATTTGTGTTTTAAGACAATTCTAATTGCCCTCTATATTAGATTATTGTTGGATGATTAAGACCATTGTTGCTTTTCTTTTGGAGTGGTAAAATGGCATGCTTTTTGGCCTTTTGGCTGCTGTTTGTTTAATGAGAAATCAGTAAACATGTTGGGAAAACAACTATTTGTTCTTGCACTTCTTCCCAATTTACTTTTATTATTTTTTCAGCACTTAATTAAGAATTTGTGTCTGTGGAGATCATATGATATGCTTGTTTTAATTCCCCTGGTTTTGGGCATTTCTTGTGGATATGTATGTTGGGTGAATGGTCATGTTAAGTTGGGAGTCTTGCACCACTCACTTTTATGTACATTAATGTAATAGGAAGGCTTTTAAACATAGCAACTTCATATTAGTGCTATTTTTCAATTTTATTATAGGAATTTTTTAGTTCAATTACATAAAATTAGCACAATTAAAAAAAAAAAAGGCTATCGCGGCGTTTCTAAAAACGTCGCTAAATATCACACCAATGGTTGGATTTCTTTTAAAAAGAGATACGATGGCGTTTTAAAACGTCACTAAATAGCATGGTGACGTCATGTTAACCTTAGTAGAACTTTTAGCAAACGCCACCTATAGTCATATAGAGACGTTTCTAAAGCGCCATAAAGTTATAGCGACGGCCGCGTCTTCGGTGTTTTGCGCCAACGTCACAAAAGGTTTTGATGGCGTTTTTAGGACCTATCGTGGCGTTTTTTAAACGCCTCTAAATCCTTGATTTCCAGCTGTGTCAATAGCGCATTTTAAATATTTATATATTTCTAAACAATTTTAACTATTCATCTAAACTTTTAGTGATGTGACTAAATTGTGGCCACTTGATTGGAAATATGTAGCTATCATCTTTTGACTTGACATCTCCAAACGATCTAAATACCTCATCACAATGAGAGGTTAATGGTTTCCAATGCTCAACAAGACCTGAAAGCACATTGACTGTATGGCTAATGTTGGGCCTCTGAGAGGGCTTGTTTGCACAACATTGGCTAGCCAACTCAGCAACAGTATTGATACTGGCACACATTTCTTCATTGAGGTCAATTGTCGGGTCGATGGCCATATGGAATGTGTTTTTCTGCATACGCATTTTGTGGAACCATGTGACAATACCAATGAACTCATCCTGCTCAGTCTCAAGTTCAACTACAGCTTTTCTTCCAGTAATCAGCTGCATTAAAATCACTCCAAAACTGAACACGTCAACTTTAATTGTCACTCTTCCTGTCAATCACACACAAGATTTTAAATTATTCAAAAATATAGAGAGGGTAATTTTTGGGAAAATTGGGCCGAGCTTCGAGTTGGGTTTTGAGGCCCAAAACGCAGAGGACTAGGTAAAAAGGCCGTACTGAATACTCCGGCCTAGAGGGCAAGGTTACTCCGGCCTTGGGGAGACAAAGTTACTTCGGCCCAAGGAGGTGAGTTTATTCTGGCTCAAGAAGAGATAGTTGCGTCGGCCCAAGGAAGAGTAAGGCTACTCCGGTCCAGAGACAACTCGGAGTAAGGCCGGTCTTAGAGTTAGTCCGGTCGCAGTATGTTCTGGGAAGACCGGTTTCGGAATTAGTCCGGTCGTGACACAATCTGGTTAAGTCGGAATTCAAGAGCGCTTTTTAAATATTTATATATTTTCTAAACAATTTTAACTACTCATCTAAATTTTTAGTGATGTGAGTAAATTGTGGCCGCTCGTTTGGAAATATGTAGCTATCATCTTTTGACTTGACATCTCCAAACGATCTAAATACCTCATCACAATGAGAGGTTGATGGTTTCCAATGCTGAACCAGACCTGAAAGCACATTGACTGTATGGCTCATGTCGGGCCTATGAGAGGGCTTGTTTGCACAACATTGGCTAGCCAACTCAGCAACAGTATTGATACTGGCAAGCACTTCTTCATCGAGGTCAATTGTCGGGTCGATGGCCATGTGGAATGTGTTGTTCTTCATACGCATTTTGTGGAACCATGAGACAATACCAATGAACTCATCTTGCTCAGTCTCAAGTTCAATTACAGCTTTTCTTCCAGTAATCAGCTGCATTAAAATCACTCCAAAACCGAACACGTCAACTTTAATTGTCACTTTTCCTGTCACTGTCCAATCACACACAAGATTTTAAATTATTCAAAAATATAAATATTTTTAATAAGACACACCCGCCGGCTAGCTCACGTTTGTGCTTTCAGGTGACAAAGCGACGTCGTACGGAGGAGCGTGGATTTGGTCAACAGGATTATACGAGGAGAATTATTTCCTCCCCGTACATATAAATATTTTTAATAAGCAAAAATCATTTGTCAAATTTATTTTCCAATCTAATAAAATCATATTTTTAAACCATGAATATGTTTGAAAGGATAATATTCTGCATGTCGAATGTTCAAGTCGAAGCCAGCCATGTCGATTGTGATTACCTACTGATTAAGTCGGCATATGTCTATAATTTAGTCCAGTAATCACTGCTCTACTTGAAATTGTATTTTAAAAGCATGATTTTTATGAGTTTTACAATAAATTAATTAAGATTGTGATTAAAACATGACTTTAATGAAGTGTGTTGTGCTCTTAAAATATATACTAGCCTATTAGGGTCTTAGATATTAACCAAAATACAAGAAGTCAAAAAATTTTAAATCCAGTGTCACTAAAGAAGAAAACCTTTATAAGCCAATTCGTGCTTGTTTTGTGAAAATGCTATAATACACATTTTTTTTAGAGTGTGTACTTTATGCCCAATTATGACATTTATTGATTTTTGTTATGACTTATTGTAGTATTTGTTATAACTCATTATGGTATTAGTTATGACATCTTTTGATTTTTATTTTGGTTATGATGGAAGAGAACTTTGGTTATAACTCAAATGGTTTTTTTTTTTTCCCCTCACCCAAAAGGGTGTTTTTCTTTCTTTTTTATTTTTTATCAGTGTCTAGGTCAACTTATACACATCTTGACTAATCTCTGAAACTTTGAATTTAACAACCTAGCAAACCTTTAGTGTCCCCAAGAGGTGTTTGATTATGACTTACTTTTAGGAGTGAGTGTGATGCTAGTTATGACATATTGTAATTATTATTTTAGTTACGACAGAAAAAATTTTGGTTATACCTCAAGAGGTGTTTGATTATGACTTACTTTTTTTTTTTTTTAATATGACAATAATTTAATTATGACATTTATAATATCAACACCACAAATATCATATCGCATATATACTCAACAATAGTAGCTATTGATGCTTATATAATCGCTGCAAATTGTCTAAACGTAAAAAATTTAAACACCAACTAAGTAAAATGAAGTTATCTAATTGGATGGAAGATCCTTCTAGATCCTAACTGTGTGACAAGGATTCATCTTTTTGAATTCAACCCTTCTTTACTTTTTCAGTGTCAATGACTCTAAAATTTCTAATGTTGGTCTCAAATATTAACATCAAATGTAATAGTAAAAAGTAGATTATTACCTTCTCACTACAAGAAAATGCATGTTTGGCGACTAAAATTGGCGACCAAACCAATTTTAGTCGCCAAAAACACCACATTCATCGACCAAATATCGGCTTCGGTCGGCATTGATTGAAACCTTTTGGCGACTAACATGTTTTCGTCGCCATATAGTATCATTGGCGACCAAGTTTCCATTTAGTCGCTGTTGTTACCCACTTAGGCTACCAATATTTCATTTTGTCGCCGTATGGTTTAATTTGGCGACTAAACATTTTTGTCGCCAAAAAAAGGGTATTTTTGTGATTACTTTTTGACGACCAAATCTGGGTTAGTCGTTGTATATTCAGTATTGCCGACGAATTTTTGAATTTAGTAGCCAAAAAGGAATCTTTAGGCGACCAATTTTTTGTCGCCAAACATGCATTTTGGCGACAAATTGTCCTTTAGTCGCTAAATGTTCGAATTTTGTTTTTAGAGGGAAAATAAATAATTTTCGCGCCCAGTACATATATATTGCACACACAGTGTTTTGTTCTCTTTTGTCTCTCCCTCTCACACACCGACATCAACATACCAAACCCGTCCCTACCAAACCCGTCGCTCACCACCTGCGATCATCACCATCGTTGGGAGCATACCCGAAAAACGCCATAAACTTAGCCAAGAAAAGGGCTTCGAGGGCCGAAAATTGAGAGCAGTCCCCGACGCACTGCGGGGATGGCACGAGTAGCTTCCTCATGTCAAATAGGACTTGTGAGGACAGACGGGACGTAATTAGCACGTGTACATTGGGAGTTAGCGTGAAAAATGCCATAAACTTAGCCGAAAAAAGGGCTTCAAGGGCCGAAATTTGAGAGCAGCCCCCAAAGCACTACGGGGATGGCACGGGTAGCTTCCTCATGTCAAATAGGACCTGTGGGGACAGACGGGACGTAATTAGCACGTGTACGTTGGGAGTTAGCGTGAAAAACGCTATAAACTGAGTCGAAAAAAGGGCTTTGAGGGCCAAAATTTGAGAGCAGCCCCCAAAGCACTACGGGGATGGCACGGGTAGCTTCCTCGTGTCAAATAGGACCTGTGGGGACAGACGGAACGTAATTAGCACGTGTACGTTGGGAGTTAGAGTGGGAAACGCCATAAACTTAGTCGAAAAAAGGGCTGCAAGGGCCGAAATTTGAGAGCAGCCCCCAAAGCACTACGGGAATGGCACGGGTAGCTTCCTCGTGTCAAGTAGGACCTGTGGGGACAGACGGGACGTAATTAGCACGCGTAGGTTGGGAGTTGGCGTGAAAAAAGCAATAAACTTAGCCGAAAAAAGGCGTTCGAGGGCCAAAACTTGAGAGCAGCCCCCGAAGCACTGCGGGGATGGTACGGGTAGTTTCCTCGTGTCAAATAGGACGTATGGGGATGGACGGGACGTAATTAGCACGTGTACGTTGGGAGTTGGCGTGAAAAATGCCTAAAGCTTATACAAATATATTAAAGCTTAGCAATATATATATGTTTTATAACAATCTCTATATACGTACAGTTATGAATAAAATATATGCATGTTTACACATTAGAGTAAACTTGAGTTGGGGTTGACTTACAAATTTGTTTTCACTTTAAATACAAGTTAACGTGTACAGAAACTATATTGAAATACCTAAATTCAAATTATATTTACATACAATTTCAATTACAATTGACATCCTTGCAATTTGTGTTTTGTAGATGGCTATAACTTTTTGTTTACAATGGAACTAATGGGTGTAATTTTTGTTGTGTAGATGGCTTTTGGCATTGACATGTGGATCTTCTAATTTTTTCTCGGAAGATACACAAGCTGGGAAAGTTGGGAAGTTTTTTGTCGTCCTATACTTTTTGCTGTGGACTATGGATGCATCGAACATATAATTTTTGACAGGGTACAAAGTATTTTTGGAGCTTGTATTAATTAATGAACCGTGGAATTTGGATGCATCGTACATATAATTTATGGTGGGGTACATAATATTTTTGGAGCTTGTATTACCTTTTGTCGTGGTACATATTACCATAGTAATTTGTACCTTGTCAAATGGTCATTACAATGCATAGTATAGTAAAAATGTTGTGTATAGAGGACATAATTTTGGTAACGTATTTGGAATGTATGATGTTATTATTTGTAATTGGAATATATATAGCAGGTGTTCATTTTTGTTTTATGGTTCTAAGTGAACCATGTAGATGATACATACAGGTTGTATACGTATTACAGGTTGCGGTGGATACATACAGGTTTGGACGAAATTTAGTAAAATTAAACAAACAAAACAAAAATATAAAATGACGCTTTTGGTGAGAAATCAATTTGTAGTTAAAAAGAAAAATCTTTTGGCGACTAAATTTTTACTAGCCAAAACGAATAAAAATAGTTATGGCGACTAATAATTTAGTAGCCAAAAAAACTGGAAAATAGTTATGGCGACTAAATGTGTAGTGGCTAAAGCTAAAAAGACTTTTCGCGACCAAATTTTTGGTAGCCAAAACAACTCCAAAACAGCTATGGCGACAACTTATTTTAGTAGCTAAAACCCCCAAAAAAAATTTGGCGACTAAATTTTAGTCGCCAAAACATAAAAAAAATCATGGGCGACTAAACATTAGTAGCTGAAGTTGCACTATTAGCGACTAAGAATATTGTCGCCGTAGATATTGTATTTTTTAGCGACAAAAACATTAGTAGCTAATAGTTGAGTTAAAATATTTAATGAAAGGTTTGGGCGACTAACGTTTTAGTCGGCAATGTCTTCTATCCGCGACTAAGACTGTTTTCGTCGCCAATACCTGTTTTTTTGGCTACTAACATGTTAGTCGGTATTTTGTGCTACTTATGGCGACTAACTGAATTTTAGTCGCGAATGCCTTCGGCGACTATGTATGGCCGATAAATCCAACGACCAAATTATTTAGTCAGGAAATACTTTCGGCGACTAAAATATGTACTTTTGGCAACGAATTTTTTAGTCGCCAAAAGTGTATTTTCTTATAGTGTCTTCATTACATATTTGTAATGGAGAGGTTCTATTAAATTGTCCAATAGTGAGTATAATAATATTTTTTTAATTTAAACTAATTATAAATTTATATGCTTATTTCATAGCCATTATATGCATGAAATGGCGAGAATCAAAGTCGGTAAAAAATGACCACTTCCGTATAAATGGTAAAATAAATCCAGCCCTACTATTTCCTAAAAAGGTAAGACCTACATTCTTGAATAATTAGTTTTATGGAAAGAAATAAATAAAAGCATCAAATTGTGTTGTATTATGTTAGGACTTGGAGTTCGTGCTGTGCGGCCCATTGGGCCCTTGTCCCAAACATATTTTGATAATCCGAATTATTCATATTATAAGATTTGTCAAATATATCATCTATATAAAAAATCAAGTGTTTAACCCCCTAATCAAGTCCTAACAATTTTAAAACAAAGGATAAATTACTAACATATCCCCTCAGATTTCCTTAAATTACAAATTACCCCTTGTGGTTCTAATGCCCCTTAAGGTTTCTAATTCCATTTCAAATAGGTCCTTTTATTAATAAATCATGAAGTTAATTAACAATTTTTAATAATGTTAAAATTTTATTTCAATTAATAATTCGTATAATTTTATTATTG